CTGGGATACTAGACTTAAAATGTTATTCAATCTACCAAAGGCAGAACATGTGAGACCTACCCTTCTTTGTACTTCAGTTATCTGATTATCTCGGCCTAGGCGAATCTTATGCTGTAGATATTTGTAAGCTATTACTTGGTCGGTGCTATGGCTCTCAATCAGAATTTTACCGCTGACTACAAGGTTGGTCATAAATTTTGTTTTTGAGGTGTTAATTTTAAGACCAATTGTTTTTGACACTTTATAGAGCGTGTGCAGCATTTTTGTAGCTTTATTAACTCTATCAGATATTAAAACGATGTCATCGGCAATTCTTAAGTGGTTCAGATCTTCACCATTTATATTAATTCCCATATTATTTTCTTGTTTTATTTGCTTGAACATATATTCAAGAACAGCTGTAAACAATTTAGGGGAGATAGTATCACCCTGTCTACTTCCATATGCATACTACAAAGCAGAATACGACTCTGTGAATAGAAGAGAAATGTTCAAAGCAATAAAAGAGCTAGGAATACCTAGCAATTTACCAATCAGTTGGTAAATTAAAAAGGACTAACTCTTAAAAAATTTGAATGTAGAGTACGAATTCAGGTGGAACTGTCTGAACCATTTTAAAACAAATAACGGGCTGCGCCAGGGAGACCTTCTCTCCTGTATACTCTTCAATCTGGCTCTAGACAAAGTAATACGTATGACACAAATCACAACCACTGGGTTAATATATAATAAATCAGCGCAAATCCTGGCCTATGCTGATAATATCAATAATGTTGGGAGAACGGAAAACGCTGTACAAGAGGCGTATGTCGCATTGAAAGAATTATCTGCAAAAATGGGTTTAATAATAAACACCAACAAAACGAAGTATATGAAAATAAGCACGCAACCATAAATCATACGACCACGTATTATAGAAAACGACGTCATCGAAGCAGTGAACGAATTTGTATACCTGAGAGCGCTCCTTGACATTGAAAATAATATTACCACAGAGATAAACCGCAGAATTTTCACTGCAAACAGATGCTATTCTGGGCACAATATCCTCCTTAAATCCACATTTATATCGAGAAATACAAAAATAAAACTCTACAAAACAATAATACGCACAGTCCTAACATATGGTTTCACAGACCTGGACTCTAACAAAAAATAATGAAAACATGTAAGGATGTTCCGAAAGAAAAGTACTAAGACGAATTTATGGAGCAGTGAATGACAATAAAGTGTGGAGAAGACGATGCAACTTCGAACTTAGACGATAGAATATACCAGGAACCTGATATCTTAAAACATATTAAGATAGGACATCTGAGCTATAAAAACGCTCCTTAATAGACCCGTTTGACAGAGAAGAAGGGAAAGACCCAGAACATGGTTCCTTGATAACATCGATGAAGACATGAGAAATATGGGAATAGGTTCTTGGCGGAGGAAGGCGTCATGGATAAGGACGACTGGAGAGAAATTCTTGAGGAGACTACGACCCACGCAGGGTCGTAAAGCCAGAATGATGACACAGCCAACCACTGGGAATTTTCGTTTTAAATTTTAAATATTGATCTAGTGAACTAATTTTTGTTACAAAAAAAGATAAATAAATGAATGGAAAAGTATTTTTGAAGTAAGAAAAATATTTATCTGCTGGTGAGCACTTTTGACCTACAAAGCCATCCTCAGAGCTATGTTACAATTAATTAGAATAACTAATTTAAATGTTACAATGTATATTACGTCAAATTTTTAAAGTACCTCTACTAAAGGAAGCTCCCATTGGGGGAAAAATACAAAAAAATTTCTTTAAAAGTTAAAAACACTTATAAAGTTCTTCAAAAAAACATCTAAAAGACAGCACACTAGACTTTACAAAAACATATTAAAAAAATTGTTCATAGTACGGGTGTAAGTAAATCTGGATGGAATTTATGGGACAGTCATAATGAGTAGGTTCCAATTCTTGCCTTTAAATGATATTTCAAAAAATAAGAACTGAGAATGTTGTCTACAGTATTTAGTTGGGATAAACCAAAATTTTAATTGAAAATATGTTTCTTTTGATCTTTCGATTTCCAGCTACGAAATGGAATTTTGGGAACGATTTGAGATTTCATTTCTATTGAAATCTAAACTTTTCCACCACAAGAAAGACAAAATAAGAAAGCTTGTCCAAAAATAATTCGTTCACCATGTGGAAATTTTGCATACATAATTCTTCTTCTTTTATATAGACATGACTCTGTCTGTTTTTCAATTTGGCTCCAGTAAGTTGTCGTTCCATCGTTTTTGTGGTCTTTCTGCTGATCGTCTTTCCCGATATTTTTATTTCTATATATTGTTTCATTCAGGCATCCTGCGGCCCTGTTTGCTCTATTCACTTGATTTTCCACTTCAATTTTAAGCTTTCCGTAGCTAGATAATGTGATGCCTAGACATTTAAACTCCATGACTTGTTTGCTGTTGTTACCATGCATTTTGTCTTTTTTGAGGAAATTAACATGTTAAATTTTCTGTCGGTGATATTTAATTGGTGCAGCATACGCTGTAAATCATCATCACATCGAGAGAGTAGTATTGCGTCGTCTGCATAGCAGAATATTTTAAATTGTTTTTCTTCTATTTGGTATCCTTTTCATTCTTACTTTTTTTTATTATTTCATCCATAATCAGGTTGAACAATAGAAGACTCAAGGAATCTCCCTGTCTTATCCCATTGCCAGCCTCGATAGGGTCGGCTAGTTCTTCTTCTACGTTTACTTTTATTGTGCTGTTTTGGTAGATATTTTGGATCGTTTTGATTATTCCTAGAGGTGTCTCTCGTGCGTAAAGTAACTGAATAACGTCCTTTAATTTGACCCATACAAATGCCTTTCTTCTCTGGAAAGCAAAGTTTCTGCTAACATCTCTAAAGTCACTGCTGAGATGTCTGCCCTCGACGATAGAATGTCTTCGTTAAAAAACCAAGTTGATGCCGATATGTTGGCCTTCCAAGAGAAGATATGGAAAGAGATGGAACGAAAGATTTAGGGAACCTGAAGAGCAGAAAGAGGAAACAATTACAGTAGAGACAAAAGAAGACGAGACGAAACGTAAGTTGGAAACACGGCCGAAATTTGAAGGAAGTGGAGGTTCTGTTTATGTCAAAGTCCAAACTTTCGACGGAAAATCGTCATGGAACAACTACATAAAACAGTTCGAATCAGCTGCAAGAGCGAATAGATGATCTGAAAAAGAAAAGGCTCTAAATCTGACTATCGCTCTTCGAGGAGATGCCTTGGATGTGCTTCAGACCATAGCCGTAGAGAAGATGAATGATTTCGAACAACTCAAGAAGAGGTTAAATATGCGATATGGCCACGAACATTTGTAGCATGTATATCAGTCGCAGCTTAAAAATCGAAGACAAAAGAAAGATAAGGGTCTTCAAGAATATGAGGTAGATATTGCCAGATTATCACGATATGCTTATCCAATAGTTCCTGAAGACATGATGAAAAAGTTGGCCGTTCAAACGTTTATTGTTGGTCTTCGTGATCATGAAATGCAGAGAACACTACTATTAGCCCGTCACAAGACGCTGGTTGATGTTTTATCCGCCGCCCTTGAATACGAGTCAGCTACGCAGGCCTCTGGCGGGTACAGTAAAGGTAGGACTGTAAAGGAGGAAGGAGATGAAGATAAATTTGACCAGCTCGTTAATATGATGAAAAGCATGACACACAAGAAAACGAAGACCGAAGACAAAACTAGAACAAGTCGGCCTTAGGGGAGCAGCTTCAACCCGGAACTTTTCCAAAGACCCTCTCATACTAATAGCTTCTTTGAAATGTCGTGAAGATAGTGTATACGTAGTTGGAGAAATAAATGGTAAAAAGCATACTTTGTTGATGGATACCGGAGCGACCACAACCAATATACGCCCGACAGTTATAAACAGTCGTAAGAAACTGTTATCAACGAGGTTGCGACTTCGGATCGCTAAAGGTGAAAATGCCAATATTCATGGAGAAATCCAGGTACAATTAGGAATTGGAGCAGAAAAGTTCGTCCATACTGTTATAGTTACTGGCATCGAAGAGGATGTTATATTAGGAATGGACGTAATGAATACGCATGGATTCCAATTGGATTTTAAGAATAAGGAAATCAAAGTTGGTAACAAGGAGGTATTTCTTCACCCACATGATGCACTGCATCAAAAATTGGCAACAAAGAGTACAAAATCGCAAAGAATGGAGGTATTTAAGGGAGGCCTATGTCAAGCAGTGGACGTGATAAATGAAGGCTCGATGATGATAACTATTGGCAGTAATTTCTTCAAATACGTGGTTAATTTTTTTCTACGTAAGTTTCCTACTTTAAACAGCATTTAATTTCAGCTATAATATCAGTAACGTTACACAATATTAACGACATACAAAATTACGGACAAACGTACATCAAAACCTGTCTATTTTCTTCAAGACATGTAACCAAACACCAGCCAACATATTCCCTGAACTTTCGTATTTCAAAGAGTGTATTTAGCGAAAGCCAGCGAAAACATGAACATTTAGATAAAGGAATTTATGCTTTGTTAAAGCTGATAAGAAACAAAACTGCGGGAGACGTATAAGGTTTACAAAAGCGAAAAACAAAACGTAAATTACGGATATCGCTAACCCACATTCCGTTTACGTTATACTCATGTTTACTCCAGTGGAAACCAATAATGTTTTCAGTTTTGACATCAAATGGAAATTTAATAATGCGTTTGTTTTATATTTAGGGTTTTCATTGATAAAGTAATTTCCTTTTGGAAAACGGAACAAAATGTATAGGTCGCAATGTATGTGACAGTTTATTTATTAAAATAGAGTTTAATGAAAATGTAAATTTTTCTATAACAGAGATAAACTAAACTAAGAATAAACTAAAAATATATATTTAAACGAAAGAACAACCGGAAATATACAAAAGCATTGCTATTTAAAAAACACTGACAAAATTATTATTCTTACCTGTAAAAAGGAAGAACTATCAGTTTCTTTTAATGCTTCTATACAAAACTGAAGAAGAGCAGTAGTTTGTTGTAGCCGTTGTGTACAACTGGCGACTTGGTCCTTTAACACTCCTTTTCTCATTTCTTTTTCTTGCCGTATAAATTCTATTAAGTGGTTTCTTCTTTCGTGGATGGCCTCTATTAACGCCTGACATTGTCCTGATATGATATTTTCGAAATCATCACAGTTGTGCTGTAACAAATAAAAAGTGGAATTAAAACTTTGTGTTATTTTTAATACAATTGGGCAATATAATTAATTTGTTTATTGAGTAGATTGCATATTGATACCAACTATATAAATTTAATATCATTTAATATGTAGATGTTGTTGATCTAATTAACTGTGGTATTAAATGCAATATGTGTTAGGTAATACATTTTTTATAAACTTTATGGTTAATAACCCTCGTTGTTAAACAATAATACCTAATTTAATGCCCTAAATGTTTTGAAACAACGGAGAAATCGTCGTTGAAATATTTAATCTGCATGTCTAAATCGCCTTCTATTACATCCTCTTATTTATAAGAATAATTTGCTTTGTCGGTTTGGTAATATTATTGTAAAGCAACTCCTATTGTAACAACTATTTTGTTTACCACAGGGTAAGAATATGGGGGACAAGATTGGGCAAACCAAATAATCGAAACAAGTGCGAACGACACTCAGTTGGTTATTGGAGAGCTGGGTCGTGGATAAGTTGAAATAAAGGGTTTCGGATTGGGGTATCTACTACTTGAAACTAAGGGATACTTACATAAATCTCCTGGGCAATTGATAGGACAAAAGATCAAAAATAAACTGGGGACACCTCAAGAAATTTGTTATAGGGCGCCACTTGAAGGATCCTAGCTTACAGAAGGAAAGAAAAAATTCTTCCCTAGTACCTATATAAAATAAAAAAAGGTTAGGAGATTTTTCTAAATAAAATAAAAAAAAATAGATTAGGGAAACAAATCTAAATTTATTATTGTCTCAAACAGTTTTCAAAAATACAGCTTATAAAGCAATACAACTTACAGCAACAAAGGCATATTATATATGACAAAATATGTCAAATACAAATGACAAAAAACTTACATATCTGTTAACAAAAGGTTACAAAATTCTCTGAAATGGTTCCTAGTAGATAATGTGGCCAAATTTTATGGATATCCTTTTATAAAGAATAAAATTTAATCTTTACTACAAATCAAAATAGATTAAAAATCAAACTGTCATACGTCAAAACAAACATTTTTAAAACAGGATAAAATTATGACATGACAGTTTAAACCAGGCCCTAACATAATATAATTACAAATATTTTTTTTTTTAAATAATTTATAAAAGAAAGCAAATTTTGTCTTTTTAAAAGAAAATGTCTATTTTTACTTTAAAAATTAATAACGTAAATGTTACCTCAGTTCACACATGTTAACTTAAACTTTTGAACAACTGGCTAACTTCTGCGGGGTATCCAACTGCACATCAACAGAAAGCTTTATTGGAAGCTGAAACTGGCACATCCAAATCAAAACTGCTCCCATATTATTCTACATGAGGTGAAAAGGGCATCTCGGAAAGGAACTGGATTTCTCAAAAAACGAAAAACAAAACAGGAACTAAACTTGTTCACTGCTCAAACATCATAAATCTTCAGCCAAAATAAAAACAGTGGTTACTGGTCACTCTTTCAGAAACGACATATTACTTAGAGTGAAAATTCCACCATTTTGGCGAATGAATGCCGGCTTACCACATCACCATTAAAACGACCTTTCGCTGCGAGCAATTATTCATCACTGCCCTCGCTGACCCTCTCGATCTCAATCTCCGAATAGTAACCCCTCTTTTCCCCGCACAAAACCATTGCCATCTTGTCAAATCAACAAATTCTTTACTCAAATTCGTTCAAAACATCCGGCGTTACTGCGCTTTAGAAAAAATAATACCAAGCTTGCAATATTCTTCTGGGAACGTTGAAGTTAAAAAAGCCATAAATTGTTCTCTTTAGCAAATACGTTTTTACTTATTGAAGAATTATTGCGTATTTAAAAATCTCTACAGACAACACATTTCTAGCGTACCAGGGGCGTACTATATAGAATCGAATTTATATTATTATTTAGATATTAAATATAAAACGCTACAATGCCCCTTCTTAAAAGAAAAAACTCGGATAATTCTTATCCAGTTTTTGATAAAAGCAAAACAAACAAAAACAAAATCAGAAGATGACCTCCTAACTGAGTCGAAACTTCTTAATAATATCTTTTAGATGATGGCTAGCATGGGATTAAACAACAAAAACAAAATTAGTTACAAGAATGGGCTAGCGTGCCATCGATCGCCAGACTCTTTAAAGTCGAGTAGACTGAAATGTTTGACTCTAAAATGAACTGTAGGTGACATGAGTTTCTATGCCTTGGGGGAAGCTAACCTTATGCCCTGCAGTGAACCTCGCTGACATTCACAGCAGTAACACAAGTGATTTGTCGGGCAGGCATAGCCATGACACCTCGTTGCCTAAACCAAGTGCTACGCACAAATCCAAAATAAATTGCTCTACACTTAACAGGTAGGCGTCTACTATCTCCACTATACGCCTAGCGAGACAGGGAATTCGGCAACGGTTCCACAAAAAAATAATTAGGATATAGACCCTAAATCTATATACCTACATATGACAAAATGTGATTCTCACATGTGTCTCCCAAATAAAATAGGTTACCTGAATTAAAATTATCAAAAGTGAAACAATATTCCAAAGGGATGAAATCAAATCAACATACAAACTCGAAAATACAGACATATGGGATAGGATGAACTAATTACTTAAAGATGACATATTGTCCTTATCTGATACAAAAGGCTTTAAATCCTTAATGTGCCACTTACCAAGATCTGAACCATTTAAATCTGACAAACGATAAACCACTGGTGACAATTTTTCCTTGATAGTTGCTTCAATATACTTCGGTGCTAGTTTGGACATAAACTTGTTGACAGCACAAGACAAAACCTTATTTCTTTTCCAAACTCTATCACCCACTTGAAATTGGACTTCTCTTCTACGTAAGTTGTAACTCCTAGCGTTACGTTCATATCCTTTTCGAAGATTAGCCTTAACCTTTTCAAAAACTTTATCCAAACCTTTGACTTCTGAAGCATACATGTTACGGTCACCTGGAATTATCTCGATATCTTGATTCTGTTGATCCTTATGATCAACACCATAATAGTTTCCACTTAAAGGAACATGACGGCCATAATTCAGGAAAGCTGGAGTATATCCAGTCACTTCATGCTTTGCAGTGTTAATAGCTTGTCTGATCTTTGCTAAATTCTTGTCCCAATCTACGTGGTCTTTAACATACGTACGTATTGCTGTACCAATGGTTCTATTGTTCCTCTCCACAAAATTACACTGAGGTGCATATACTGGGCTAAACCATACTTTCTGAACGTTATACCTATTACAGAGCTCAATTAAGAGAGGATTGTTCAGATTTGAGGCATTATCACAAATCACATATTGAGGAACACCAAACATTAGGAAAATATCATTTTCCAAAAACTCAACAATATTCTTAGCCGTGGCCTTTCTCAAAGGTTGGACTAAAGTATATTTACTAAACCAATCAGCAACTACTAATAACCACGTATAACCTTTCTTTGAACGAACAAAGGGACCTATCAGATCTATTGCAACTATTTGCCAAGGAAACTTGGCCTCTCTCTGCTTACCCATTTTACCTAATGGAGCATAATTTGGTGTCTTCTGAGCACCACAAACTTTACATGACCTGACAAACTTAAGCACATCAACACGCATCTGGGGCCAATAATATCTTTCCTGAATACGGGACAAAGTTTTGGAAAATCCAAAGTGAGCACACGTAGGTGGCTCATGACAAGACTTCATAACTTCAGACCTTTGTGGTTTGGGCACAACAATTTTCCATTCTACATCATTAGTCTTAAAAGAATTTCTGGTAGGGGCAAACTTATAAACAAAATCATTCTCCACCTTCCACTGTGGAAAATCAAGGGGGGATCGGATTATCTTTGATCTCAAATTATCGAACCAAGGGTCTATTCTATCTAGATCAATTTCTAAATAACAAATATCTTGGGTAGTTTCTACTGGATCATTGGTGTGAGCTCGAGATAGAGCATCAGGGACTAAATGGGATTTTCCTTTTCTGTGAATCAAATCAAAAGTATGCTGTCTTAGGCGCATAGCCCATCTGGCTAATTTACCAGTAGGATTGGACAATTTATTTAACCAAAGAAGTGAATGGTGGTCAGTAATGACCGAAAACTTGACTCCCTCTATGTAACCTCGAAATTTCTCGATAGCGAAGATCACAGCAAGACATTCTCTCTCTGTAACTGAGTAATTTCTTTCAGCTCTGGAAAGAGATCTACTAACATATGCTATAACCTTTTCTTCACCATCTATAGTCTGTGTTAAAACACCACCAAGACCGGTGTCAGATGCATCACATTGCACAACAAAGGGAAGATCAAAATTGGGCTGGGATAAAATAGGGGCAGAAATTAGAAGTTCTTTAATTTTCAAAAAAGCTTGTTCAGCTTCACTTGTCCATACTACAGGCTGTTTCTTTCTACGATGACCCTTAAGAAGATCATTTATAGGGGAGGCTAAACTGGAAAAATCTTTAATAAAACGACGGTACCAAGAACACATACCGATAAATCTTTTAATTTCAGTGGAATTAGTTGGTCTAGGATAATTGACCATAGCAAGAATTTTTTCTGGATCTGCCTTCAAAGAATTATTACCAACTACATAACCAAGATACTTTAACTCTGACTTAAAAAAATCACACTTCTCAACATTGATGGTCAAGTTTGCTTCCTTAAGCTTTTCTTGAATTATCTTTAACAACTCAATGTGTTTCTCAAAAGTTGGAGTACATACTATAATATCATCCAAATAACAAAATATATAAGGCTCGAATTCAGGTCCAAAAATAGCATCAACAAGTCTTTGTTGAATCTGTGCACTATTGCACAAACCAAAAGGAACAGAAGTGAACTGAAAAGAACCTCTACCAGAAACATTGAAAGCTGTCTTTTTCCTTGAGTCAGGATGAAGTGGGATCTGCCAAAATGCTTTTCTCAAATCAATAGAGCTTATGCATTTAGCTCCTCTAAGCAATGACAAAATTCTATCTATTT